ACATGTATATGGCACCATGGCGCTGTGGTAGCACCATGGCGCTGTGGTAGCACTTATACACAATGGTAGGCCCAACCAGTTAACCGCATAATCCAACCATTGTCAAGTGCACGCTTCTTGTCACGTCTTCTTTATACCCACGTGGTTTCAAATCCACTGAACTGGAACCAATCCCATTATAACGCTAGGTCAACAGCACTTCCAAAGTTGTTTGGAGCTAAGGTGAAATTTTTTTTAAGTTGATGTTTTGATCCGACGATGTTCCGGATTCAGAACTGGGTAAAAATTACAAATTTTTATTTGAAGAAGTCTTAGGTCTGCCGATTTAGCGATATGAATGTAAAAAAACAAAAAAAATTTTTTTTGTTCCACTGTCGGACTGAAGGAAAAGTTCTCGATTTCAATTTTTTCAGCTTTGCTACTCAGCAGCTAGTGCTAGGGGTAAGGAATACCTCTTTTTTCCTTTCTTTTTTTGGGGGGGGGAATTTTTTTATTCTTCTTTCCGACTTGAACACCCTTATTTGCTTTTCTTGAGACCATAGAAAATACATTTTTTGGGTATTTTTGCATCCTCCTCTAAAATTTGTCTTAAATAAATTCAGCACCAACAAAACAATGCTTGCCAATGAAGGTACACTTTATAAACCTACTTGACAAGAGTGAACTCTGCTTACACCTGTTCCACACTTTTCTGATTTTACAATATTGCCAGCCTTGGCCAAGGCATTTGACAACAGTGTACAATGATTGAATGGCCAGTGGTCGCCCATCGAACATCATTAACTGCTGTTGCACAACTTGAACAAGGCTAGTGCACCAGTGAAATCGGGATGGTGTGCTTTCAGGCTTTACCTAAAAACAGTGCCTACTTGTCTTCCATTGATTTCCAACTGAAGCTCTTATCATTGTAATCAGGCATACACATTAAGGTATTACCTTGCTAACTTGCTAAGCAAGTACCTGTACTACATGTATATGTAGTACCACTAGTACCCTTTGCTGAACAGACTCTCTCTTGGAACCATCTAACAGGGCGGTCCAAAAGTGGTCCAACCAGGGCTTCATTTCGCAAAGCTGCCAAGCATGACAATGTGTGTGAAAAAAAATGAAGAACCAGAACTTTGGCTGGTAACCTGTTTTCGCTATTAGCAAATTTCTTCTGTGTTTGGCTAATTCTGGGCTCAGCAGATCTATGAAAATTAGACCCTGGGGGTTGGCAAATTTATTGGCTAAGCCCAAATCAGAGAGCCGATCAGTAGGAATGCAACATCTTGGCTGGTAAGCCAGCTGGTAAGCCGGTCTGTTGAAATACTCGACTTGTCTCTAGCAGCTCTGTGTGCTCAGCTGCTGACTGTCCTGCCTGTCATGTATCGGCGATGACGCGCAAACCACAAACGAAGACATGATGAAGATGAGGTTGGAATGAGAATGACGTGTCAACCCAGGCATCAAGAGATTGGACCCAACTTCACACCATGCTCCTACAATTTCTTTTTTTAATTTCCCCTGGCCCAGCATGCAGCAGCCACGACCCACCTCTGTTTATTATTAAATGTACTCAAACGGGTCAGACTAGATGGATGGATCATGGATACCTTTTCAGCATTCAGTCACCATCTGCACGGTTTTTCCCTAACACTTGTGTGCGAAGTCTCACCCACAAGGCAGACCAACACCCACAAGACTGATTTGATGCAAAATCATTAATAATCTCCAAGTTTAAACGACATGGCATTTCAAGGCCAATTACGCTGTTCAAGAGCTACAACCTGTGTAGACCATATGGGCAGGCAAGCTGGTCATGAAATCTTTTATTACATGTAATTGGCTTGTTCATGTGAGAGTTATTCATACACAGTGTCTATATACATGCATGACGGTTTGTGCTGAGAGAAATATGAACCCTACAGTAACACTTTGGATTAGCAACTGCACATGCACACACGCAACATCAAAATTAGATCACGTTCACCTATCCCATCATGCTCAATGTGCATGCACATGTAGCTTAGAAGCAATATATTTTCCTGTTAGTGTCTTTCAAGTTATTTCATGAATGTATGTATACACAATTTCAGGTTTTGTGGCCATCAATAAATTTTCCCTGGACATTCCTCTTCATTTCACCTTTAAAGGATTCCTTCCCTTCCACAACAGAGGTCTGGATGCATTTGGATCTGTGTACAGTGAGTTGTGCTGCAGTTATCCAGGGCACCACGTCGATTATTTAGTGACAAGTTGCCCAATCCACTCTGGCAATGAGGTCAGTTCCTCTGGGCCCCTGCCCCCCCCAACTTAGGAAGCACATACCGGTATGTACTGAACCTGTACACATAGACAGAAATGATCGATTGCCAATACAGACATGTAGTAGCTTCCTGATACAAGGGAGTTCCTACTTGCAGAATGTTACAGGTGACTTGGAAATTATGCATCCAAACTCATGGTGCTGATTATGCTCTCAACGGTTTGGAAGAACTTGGGGTTTGGAACAGTTTTTGTCTGCTCCTCCTACATGTATGAGATATACGTAAATGTAGTAATGTTTTCCACATCTAACAATATCGAGGAACATGTCACAAATCTCACCCTCACACCCTGGAAAGAAATGATAATGTGGCCCAGAGAGCACAACCGATAATTACATCACATCAAGTACTACATCAAAGCACGTTCAATGTCGGGAAAGTCCCTTTAAAACATGTGCCTTGGAGTGTCTGTCAGGAGGTTATGTATTGAGGCAGATGTGTCACATCATGCATTGTGGTGCCCGGCCTACAAGCCTGCACTCTCTTGTAGAGGGTTGGGGTGAATTACTTTGACAATCAAGAGAAAGTTTCCGAAGGAGGAGGGGGAGGGAAGGGGGGTGAAAGCAGACAGAGAGGAAAAGGTCTCTCAGCCCTACCAGACAGCTGCCATAGCTCCCAGCCTAAACAGGCACAGTGCAAAACACAAGCTTCCAGATAAATCTGCAAAAAACCAATTCCTTCTTTTTCTACTCCCCATCAGAATGTGGACTCATAACACTGACATTCCCAGATCCCTCAAATTCTACCACACAAGGTCTCTGGCAGGATTTTGGAAACTTAACTTTCCATGGGACTTGAGGCCTGGTGAAAGTCACGAGCACAGGGAATGCACAGGGAAGAGGTTTGGAGGATTCTCTCACATGTCCGGAGAATTTTCATGCAAACTTTCCTGACACGACAGTCCCTTCTGTTCACAGGCTTCATGTCTAGTCTTAATATTAAAATATGAATATGCCCTTATGAAGACATGTGTACACGCACATACAAGTTCACCCCCCCCCGATCTTGATCACTGGTGGATACTAGTCTCAAAATACCCGCATGTGACTACATGTACCTGCAAGGGCTGATTTTGTAAGCTGTAATCAACTATGAGCCAAGGTTAGAAACTGGGTCATGTGGGTGTCAACTGCCACAGAGACCACCTGAGAGACTTACAATGTAGTTTATGTTACGGGCTACAGGGAAGTAAAATGAACATCCTCCAATGAATACATGTATCTGCATCCTGATTTCAGAACCTTGGAAGAGCTTCCTACCCAAAGAGATGTTGCAAAATGTCAAGTTACATGTACGCACAGTATATAGACATACATGTACATGTACCAGTAGACACCAACTTTACTTGGATGCAATGTGATCAAAATAATTTTCATACACTGTATCCTCAACAAAAAACACTCATTTTCAATTTACTAGACCTGATAAATGTGTCTCAAAGTTCAAACTACCCTTACTCTCAGCCCTTCCAATATCCACTCTCCATTTCCATTCCCCATTCTGATGTCTTCATTTTTTTCTCAATTTCTGGAGTTTTCTTCTCCTGTATTGTAGCCTGATATTTGATTTATTGTCTCCTGGAAAGAGCACTGGGGAGAGAAGCTAACCTAAGCGATATACCACAAGGGACCTCAAAGAAGTACTGTATCTTGGCACCCTTGGGGTATGACTTCCAGGGCCTGATGACATGACCTGACCTCGGTAGCTCAACTTGGTCCTAACTGTCACCCATCACCGTTTCAGGGCTGCTGGATGGAAAAGGGTAGGACGCTAGTTTGGCACTTACACACCAACTTGGGTAGCCATCAGCGGAAAGGAAAAAAAACATGGCATGCCAGTGGAACAGGTCGCAGCTTACATTACAATCATTCAAGGAACAAGAACAAACCCACAGAATGTCTACAACACATTCCTTCCCTCCTTGGTAACGTCCCACAAATTACAAACTGCACATTCAGCTCTTTTTATGACACATGCATACTGGTAGTTGGATGTACAGATGCACACAGACATGACTGACGTAGGTGGAAAACAATGAGGACTGGGATGAATTTTTGGTTACTCTTGAATTTTGAGTATTCACCCGTCAGTAAGTCAGGCAGCTTTCAAGAACAACTTCAAACCCTTTTTGCTGGGCAGGGTGATTGCGAGCAAGATTATCTGTGCCGTCAACTGGACAAACCATTAGTAAATTAAACAGTACTGGGGTAGTTTTTTTACGTTCTCACTTCCAGCATCTGAACAAAAGCCAATTTAACAGCTGCTCCACGAGGTACACATTTGTGGGATTGCACTGCATTTGTTGTGTCAAGTGGAAGTAATGAGAATATGTAACATAACAGCAAGTAGGCCTACACGTACACATACATTAATGGGATAGCATTAAAGGGAAAGGTCACTTTTGCTGAAAATGGAGTGAAGTATACAGTTATAACATGCAAATTTATGTAAGACTGGTGTAATATTCAAGTTCATATGGCACACACAAACACTGGCCAGCTGGTTTTCAGAATTAGTTTCCTTGACTGAACTTTGGAGGCGTACATGTACTCTAAATTTTTCATCCAGGAAGAAAAAAGAGAAAATCTAATGTCCTTTCAAGTAATAAAAAAAGGACTACAGGCTTTGGAGTACAGAACATTCCCAAACAATACAGTCAAAACCTTTCTTCTTAAGTGCTACGTCAGGCAGTCGCATCAAAGGCCCCAGTGTCTTTATATCAAAATGTATACCTTGCCTGTCTTGGGGGACATAAATATACAAAATTTGAACCTTGTGTGACTTTCTACACACAAAAAAGTTTGACAGGCCATAACTTGCTTCAGTTTGAGGGAAGGCAATACAGAGAGGGGCACACTCAGAAATCCCTGTGTCCTCTCATGTATTCCATGAAAACAAAACAAAAAATCCCCTAAAACAACTGATATCTACACACTCTTATTCTAAGACACCTTCAGTCTGTATACCTTACCTGGATAAAAATCGTTGTTTTTTGAAAGTTTGATGACCGTTTTTGTGTCTACCTGTAGCTTGGCTATGGTCTGTCCCCCTTTTCCAATAATGGAACCTGCCACTGTACTGGGGATGAGCATTTTTAACATGTATTTGGTGTCGTCACCTGTAAGAAGGGAAAAAAAACATGATGAGAGATACGTGTATCAGGATATCATCCAATATATCATGACACTTGACATTTTGTAAGTTTAATTCACACCACCAAAGGAAATACAAAATTTCCTCTAATCAAGGCGCCAGTAAAGTGTACACTCCTTAAATGTCAGTCACCATTTGCTTTTGCTGTAGATTGTTATGTTGCGAATTCAGGGGGATTTGTGGGTTTGTAAACACTGTCATTTATCTCGACATGTTATTGACTACCATTCCAAAGACTTGTTTCACATTTATCAGTACCAAGAGAGACAGGGCTTGTTTTCAACAGTCAAAGCACAGCTTGGTTGATTTCTCTTGGGGAAAAAAACATGGACCACAGGCTGCTCCTGAATGTGTGACCATGGTGTGAACAACACATGCACGAGGCAAATCACTGCGTAGCACCTGTTTATGGATGCAGTATATAAAAAAAGCTGTTTATCCAATAAGAAAGTGCAAAATTTCCTGTTTTCTTGAAAATAACAGTATTCCAGACGTAACAATTTCCTCCTCAAACATTTCATAAAAACTATAACATCAAGTAAGCCATTTCCTAATTATTTACCATCACTACCGGGTAAGTTTGTTTTTAACGTGGTAGTGTATGTGATTAGCTTGAACTCTTCTATTTAAAAAAACATGTCTCCTTCAGGAAGATTGCCACACATGTAGGTGCAAAATCTTCCTGTGCCAAAATATCCCTTTGCTACATACATGTACATCATAATATGATGATTCAAAGGCCATATTTCACCTTGGGCAGTTATTAATTTACTCAGGTTTTATGCTCTGCCGCCTTTCAACAAGCAATCTCTCCACACATTGGGAACTCATCTCATCTTAGGTCCACAGGTCTCCAGTTTCGGCGAACAGCAAAAGCCCAATCGATTCAACTCAAGAGGGAAGTCTAGATTTTGAGAAAATATCATTAACTCGTGATTTCTGGTGGAGGACCACCAGAATTCAAGGTTCGAATTCAAGGTTCCAGTTGCCAGTCTCCATTGTTGCCAAGTGCCGGGAATTTGGAAACCTGTACTATAATCCTGAGCAAATGACATGTACATGTATGTACTTGCTGCTGCAAGATATGCATGTACATGTAGCTTAAACTCTGGCATTACATGTACCTGTATTTAAAACCAGCAAACTACTACCCTGTGAGTGATTTCCTTACCATTCAGTACATGTAAATGGGGATTAGACAGAAGTAAAAATTCACAAATTTTTTTGGGGGGGGAGGTCAGGTATCTCAGGATTTTTTTTTATTTTCAAATTGTTTTGTTGAGGTTGAGCAAACAGTAACAAAAATCACACTTTTCAAATTCTTCATCAGATTCACACAAAAACCAAGGGAACTTGAGATACAAACTGAGAAAGATCTGACACTGAACAGCTGAAGAAGAGTCAACTCCAAAACTTGTCAAATTGCTTGTAGTACAACATCCAAGAATTGCCTCCTAACAAAACCCAAAAGTGTTACACGTTTTTCTTGGCTGGGCAGCAATCGAGACAGCGAAGTCTTCTCCATCTCAATTTGTTGTTGCCCAGTCCCTCCATAATGTCCATAACACTTAAGTATTTAGTGTGCATCTGGATTGGGTATCTGGACAAGATAACGGTATTTTAGACAGCTAAACAATGAATCACTTTACCTGACATCGCGAACAGAGGGCCCATTCTAATTTATATGCAGTGGCCTGATTCACTTCATACGAGAACATGATTTCCATTTGTTTTGCAACACAAAAACCTCCTGAGGGTGTAACGGGTCTTTGTACCAATGCAATTAAGCATCCCCCAGTCACTTGAGAACTGCAGTGATGAAGAGCATTGTCACCGCTAAGGGGAAAAGATGCCATGCCTCCATGGAGCAATCCGACATCGGCCGAGGCCGGCCGCTGTGGAAACCGAATCCCATTGCCCGGGCCGAGGTCCATTGTGGGACTGGCTCTAATGCAAGATTCATCGGACAACATCTAGCGCACTTCATTTACACAGGAGGGAACACTTTCCATAAATTCTGCTGAGTGGCACCATTGCTTATCTGTCTGTTACTGCCTGGCTGTCTACGTTCTTCTTGGGGGGGGGGAAGGAGTTGGATACATAATGCAACACTCCCTCAGCCAACCCAGCTGTGAAATCAGACATGTTCTTCACAGCAGACCTATTTATATGCATAGCCATCTCATCAGATCAGGGTAATGATGTGGCAGGATGAATAATGAATACGCATACGAGTTTCCTGATGAACGACCCGTAATTCAGGGAGAGCATTTTTGGCTTCAGCTTACAAGCTGGTGAAGGGGATAATGATTTTCGACAGGAGACAGTCAGTGTCTTTGAAGTGTGTTGCCAGTTTGTTTTTAATTTGGCTCCACAGGTCTCTGAAGAGTGCATGCACTATACGTTCATGTCAAGCCGCACTGAACGCGTATACATGTATGCATGAAGTGCACAGATTTGTACAGCACCTGTAATTGGTAAGAGCATGTTGACCAGTCAAAGATTTAAAACTTGACTTCCCTTGCAGTCAGTTTTCCACCAGTTACTGCTAGTATGTATGTTTTTCTTATACATGGGTAAGCGCTACCTTCCACACACATGTACATGTACATGATGAATAAGTTCCCCTTGCTGCAAAATGAGGAAGGAAAACAATCCTGAAGATTCCTGAAACTTGCCAATCCGTTAAAAGCACAGCTTGATATTTCCACTTTAGGGTGCAAAATTACTGCTAACATGACTTGCAGTCATTAATGATTTGGTAAACTTGCAAATCATATGTGCACACAGCGTAACAAAATGCACCTTCAATCATCAACCTTTCAATGAATGACGGGGAAAAAAATGTTGGCTTGTTTCCATGGTTGGCCTAGGTTGATACAAAGGAAGATCTATGCACATGTGTAGGCAGGCACCTCTTGCTAATCAAGTTAATTGGTTTTTGGCCATAGCGTACCGGCACGAGTACTGGTACATGTACCATGCAAGAGCCCTACATGATGGGATGTAAGCCGCCATCTAAATAGACACTATCTCTCCACATAAAATGCGACACTGCACCAGAGGCAGCTCGCACCAATTACTAACGAGACAGCACGGCCTGTCACAGAGGCTGGATACTGGATAGTACAATTATCCTTGCCTAGATGATGCATGCGCTGGGCACGAATTACAAGCATTTTTGCCTGTGTACAGAACGCAGGACTAATGCACATCTCTGCCTGGAGCACTGCCGTCTGGCCTGCCTACGTTTATTATGAGATGTAACCTTATTAGACTCAGTTTGGAGGTGGCAATGTATTAGCCCCACTTTGCACCACATTAGGTAAAATCTTTAATTGTATTCCCTCCGTGCCCTTCGTAAATCAAATAAACTGACTTTAGGCAATTCAGTGCTGAAAAACGGAAAACACAAATTATCGACACAACGTGGATCATTTATTTATTATTTTTATTGTTCCCGCCTCATGGCAAGCTGATTTGTCCGACAATACAATTGATCAAAACCAACCAGCAATTTTCTTGACAATTTTCTCTTCTTTCCCTAATATTTCAGACATAAAATAGGTACATGTACAAGGATTTTCATATACATGTACCACTGGATCTGAGGAAACAGGGCGTTCGCCAGGGAGATTCATCTCAGGAATCATAGCACAGAATAGTTAAAAAAATAGCACCAGTACGTATGTATACATGGACGCCTTTAAAAAATAGATCTGCAAGTACATGTATACCGGGGGTTATGTACAAATTTGTACATGTACACATTGTGCTAGTACATGTATGTACGTGAGACTAAGACATGGCAATTTTGTTGATAAACAAAAATACATGTACACATACATTATCTAAATGTACCGGTACATATACCTTCAACTAATTTGTTTTTGGAAGGAGGAGGGCTGATTTAATTTCTGAATAAATAAATTATTTGTTACAATAAGCCATTTGCTAGTTAAATTTGAATAAAATCTGGTACACTGAGTTATCTGATTGCACATAAATATAACAATTTGAATTCCCCAGACTACAGACACTGTTGCTATACCTCGTGATTCGGGGCAAGCTTTTGCATAGCGACCCTTTTTATCCACTGAGAACAGTGTATTGTTGCAAGGCGTCTCTTATGTAACTAAGCAAACAGTGTTTTAGTCTGGAGAATTAAAACTGTTGTGTTCATGTGATTTAACTAACTCAGTGTACCAGATTTTATTCAAATTTAACTCGCAAAAGGCTTATTGAATTAACATTATCAGGGCCAGCAACTGAACCATTTTGGTAAGGAAAATGTAATCACAGTATCATTACATGTACATGTAGCTATGGTGAAGCTGACTTCTTTTCTCTACAGATGTAGGCGATATAAACTGCTCTTTGTTTTAAAAATAAGGTATTAATTAATTAACACATATCTGTGGGAATGTTTTTGGGGGAATCAGATCCCATGTTTGACCTTGGGCAACTTATGGCAGAGAAATGGACAATACACAGACTGTTCAATATTTTAACCCAGAATGTCATAATTTGGTTATGCAATTTACTCAGTGTGGACGGGTGCTTCCTCGTCCAGAAATAACATCAAGGAGAGTGGCTTTTGTGTGTAGCCCTGACACGCGTGTCTCCTGCAGTCAGTGTCAGCAGCAACGGATTATCAGATTTTTTTCCCCACTGAGTGCATTTTTTTTTTCCCACTGAGTGCATTTGAGAACAACCTGTACGCGGGACCATTGTGTGGTGAATCCTTAGGAGTGTGTTGTGTGGCATGGGGGTCAATGGGTCACTGTACCAAGTGGTGGCTTTTTACATGATAGTATTCGGAAATACACAGTGGAAGGTGCACAGTACGTGTGACACATCTCTGCATACATACATGTACATTGTACATGTACCGGTACATGTATGGGTGTGAATACAGCTGGACTACATACAGAGACACAGACTAGCACATGTGTATGAACATAT